GAAAAGGACAAGTGGTGTCAATCCATGCCAGCAGAAATGTGTAAATGAAACACAAGATCCCCTTTAGTGTGGGGGGTCAAGGGTTTAGCTTTTCATTTAATTTGTCAGGTGTGTTTAAAGAAGATGTCATTTCCCGATTATGATGTTGACACTAAATGGACCTTTTAAAGCTATAATATTATTATTTAATTAACGGACATTTAATTCTGTGTTTGCTTTGTCCAAGTCCCCAAATAAATTTCTGTCTTATGGCGTCTCCTTCCTATCTTTTAGGAGAGCGGTTCCATCTACCTCCAGTTCACCTGCTCCACATTGCTCCAGCTTGAGGTTATCTTCGAGGTGCTCGAAGAGTATGACTGGACCTCCTTCTCTGTAGTGACCACTCGTCACCATGGCTATGAGGACTTCCTGGCCATGGTGGAGGGTATGACCGATGGCTCTTTCATTGGTTGGGAAAGGAAGAGTGTGGTGATTCTTAATGTAACGGACGACCCCGGTGGGGCACGGACGAAACGACTGCTCAAGGACAATGAAGCCCAGGTAAGGCTGGAAACACAAATGCCATTTCCTGCTGTACACATCCATGAAAAAGGTTTCATTTATCTTATGGTGAATAAAAAGGAAAAAAATACAAAGAAATATATTTAATGAAAGATATCTGTACCACCTGCCACTCATTTTGATGAGCTGCCAACCTTGAAATCACTTCTGTAGCCCGAGGCTCAGGTGGGGGGAGATCTGTGAAGGCTTCACAAGCCTTGAAGAAGCAGATGGTGATCTCTCCCTCAAAAATGATATTTTCCTCTATTGTTAATGTGACCTCATGCTTTCAGCTTCTAGGTTCACGTTGAAAGTCACAACCTTCAATGGTCTTGCCCCTAGAAAGATAAAATGTCTCACACACTATAAGGCTGTACTGTTCGCTTAGGCCTTCTGCAATTTTAATAGTGCATTGCAGTATGTGAGGAAGGTTTTAGCTACATGCACAGCAATGAAGAGGTCTAGATTCTTCATCTAAAATCATCAGCCTTACCATTTGCAAAATACACTTTTGAACTGTTCACATACTATGGGTTCTTTATTTAGCTAACTAGCCTTCAACCCTTTAGCGTTCTGCTCAACCAATTGGTAGAGCACATTTTCAGGCCCTATATCTAACTGAGGCTTTCACTGAAATTGACCTACCTTGTTGAGTCTTTTCTACCAATTGGTTTACATCTGTAATGCCAAAAAAATCCTCCAGAAGGCACTGTGAATGGAAACTGTTGGCTCTTCTTATACCTCTCCAAACCAGGAAGTCAGAAACAAAAAAACATCCAACATATTTTGAGTGTTTTTAATGAAACTAAGATAGGAAGATATAATTTTTTGATATATGATAGTGTTAGAGGACTTACTAAACAGATGTATGTCACTTGACAGCATTAAAAAAGTGAAATTAAATGTTTAATATTTTTTTTAAAAAGTGGTCAACCAAATGGTTGATTTGTCCCTTTATGGTGCTAATTCTAACATAACCTAAATGTTATTAAAATATATTATTTGCCATAAAGTCAGACCACTAGACCCATGTTTATCCATTGCTATTGATAAATCACATTAAGTGTTAGCACAGCAAGAACATGTTGAAATAATTTCCTCAGTAAGTAATTTTTGTAACTTTCTGAGTTAATATTAGTAAATATTGTAAAAATCAAGAATAACACGTGGAAATCACAAATATCACAACTGTAATTTTAACCAAATTACAGTAGTTGGTAAATTAATATTACTAAGTTGTCAAAATTATAATTTCATGTTTAACAAGTACTATATGGACGCTAAACAATTATATGGCTAAAAATCACATGGTCCTGTGGCATGATACTCATGATACCATCCATCTTCAACCACAGTGTGTTTGAGGTCATGGTTTCATATGAAGCCACAAGGGCTGGCACTCTCCACTAGTATATTGCCAACAAACCAGATGAGTGGGGCTTTAAATTGTTTGGCCAAGCAAGTTCGTCTGGCATCATCCACGACTTGCTGCTGTATCATTAGGATCTACATTCTTCAAAGTTCCCCTCAGTAAAAAGGAACAGAAGCGACCTCTAAGGGGCCAAAGTTGTAAAAAACACTATGCAAACCCATAAAAGAACCTCAGCTCTTCACAAGTTTCAGTTTGGTCCAAACTTCCACGCCTCCTTGGGTGTCAGGTGCATTGGTACTGAATGACCAAACTGCACTGGTGGAGCTCCCCTGATGGCAGACAAAGACGTGATGAAGGGCCATGGAGCCTGTTATTACAGGTCTGATGAAGGGCTGATTGCAATAAAATGGTTCGACAAGAAATGTGTCAACCTTCTCAACAATGCCTGTGGGTTCATGCTTCTTTCATCGGTCAAACAGTGGAGCAAAGAGTCCAATGCAAAGATCACCATTCCATGCCCATCACTCATCCCTCATCCCAAACTCTGAAACTCATCCCAAATTTTTTTTCCATTGCTTTTTTTCTTGCTGTGGACCTCAAAGTGATGTTTGTAGTGCAAAGCAGCTAAGGTGAAACAAACCATTGAAGATCTAAACTAAAGATGAGGAGGAAGCGATTTTTTGCATTGTGCCATTTGGAGGTCTGATTGAAGCCTATTTAACAAGCTTGATCAGCTTGTTAAATAGGATGTGATTTAATACTAGCAACATTAATATTTACATGATTGTACACACACTTAGTTAGAATTGTGTGCAGTGCATTAAATGATGAATGTGTCCCGCATTTGTCTCCTTCAACGGCAAATACTCAGCTTACTTAGACACATGCATGATCAACTTCCTGACTGTTTAGTATGGTTTTGTGTTGCTTTTAATTTTTTAACAGTGTGTATATATATTTTTTTTTAAAAAAGAAACAAAAACAAAACTCTGTATATTATCACCGGAGGGGATGTTTAGTTGTAATCAGGGACAGGATAGAACACCACAAAAGCCATTAGGGCTTATGATTTAATTTTTGTGCCCTTAATGAGTTATATACTTTACCTCAGGTGCAGGTAGATTACGAGCTGTGGGTGGCCATTTACCATTTATTGTAGATAGCGTTTCTCAGACCCAGATGTAGACTTGGCTTCCCCTCTTGAACTGGCCCAGGGTACAGTTTCCTTAGACGTGCCCAGGCATCAAATACTGGTCATGGATGAATGGAACTGTGGGTTAAATGCACTTTATGATATGGACCACTATTGTGAGTAAACCTTTAGTCGATAACAGCCTAGTTGACTGATACCCAAACTAACTGATGAATAAACGTATGAATAATAAGTAAGTAAAATTTACCTGAAGCGAGGAGGTTTTCTGTGGTTGTGCTTGTGTCACATAAAATGTAACAAAATTTCCTTTGTGGGTATTCAGGTTAAATAATCTATGGGTCGAGTCATTCTTCTTGTCTCTTTATAAAATGGTTTCACAGTGTTGTCTGACTGAGACATTTACTTTTTCTGTGATTATGATTGATAGAAATGCCAATCATAATATTAGGCTTCATGTAAATGTAGCCAATATGACAATCACCCACTCACATCACAGTGACAGTTTATACTTTATGTGAGGAATGTCGAATTCATTTTACATCACGGGCCAAATTGGGCTCACTTTTTTCCTAAATGGACCAGACCACTGAAACTCACCTTTGTGTCAAAGCTACATCGTACAGCTTTGTCTACATGATAGAAAATGCTGCTGTAGTAGATGAGAAAACATTTTCAGCATGACTCTTACACTGTACAAAATGTTTAAAATTATATGAAAAGTGCTGGTAGCTTATTGGCCAGCCTGCTCTGTATTAATAAAACAAAGCTCTTGTTAATTAAAAAAAAACATGTCCTTTTTACTATAGATTTGTATTATTATTTCTGTAGTAAAGAGTAAAACACTTTGCCATTTTTCAGTAAGAAAAGCTGTAAAACATATTTTCCTAAAGTTACATTTGATTAAAACAAAAGTCCAACATTTATGCCCCCCTCACATTTTCCAAAGCTGTCCAGTGGGGCTGATTTGAATCTTTGCCGGTCCGATTCTGGCCCCCAGGTGTTATGTTTGACACCATCGCTTTCTGTAATTATAGCTGTGAAAGCATTTTCTTATTTCATTACTCGCATACATAAACGTGTGCCATGATCATACAAGTAAAACATTCCCAAAGAAAAAATGTTTTCTTCTATAAGCT